GTCCCTTAAAGGTTACTTGCAATGTGAAATCTGAAACCATTAATAATAAACCTTTTGGACTCAGTTACATAAAAATCTATTGGTATAATTTGCAGTTTCAACGTATGCATAATTTTGTAATATCATGCATTAGGTCATTTGGAAATTGCCAGTTCACTGGGTTATGCAGATCTTCCAAATGTTGGCACATTTCATCATGTGATATTAAAAAACCTTTGTATGCAAATACCACCACCACCACCAATCTCATCAGAAAAATCTCTAAGTATCAGGAAGCTGTCAAGGTCATGGTGGCAGATACAAGTTTTCAAAAATTCTTACTTTTATTTGAAAGCCTGAATTTTATCATTGACAACAAATACTGTCCATTGTTTTCCTTTAAGTAATAGGCTATGCTCATTCTTGAGAAAATATCTGCCAAACACTCAAGTCTGAATTGCCAGCCACAGGGGATCAGCCACTTGTTCTTTCAAGGCAGTCCATGAAAATGGGGGGGCGGGGGGTAGTTCAGCTTTGTAACCCAAATCTTGAAACTCAAACTATTTCCCAAGTGTGCTTCCTTGAGGTAGCCATCACATTTTGGTGTGCAGCAGAAGCACTTCATGTATACTTCCCATTTCATCATACGGAGTTTAACAGACATAGCCTCAAGGGCTGAGATTTAAAATTTTTTTTTTTTTTTAACGTTTATTTATTTTTGGGACAGAGAGAGACAGAGCATGAATGGGGGAGGGGCAGAAAGAGGGGGAAACACAGAATCGGAAACAGGCTCCAGGCTCTGAGCCATCAGCCCAGAGCCTGACGCGGGGCTCGAACTCACGGACCGCGAGATCGTGACCTGGCTGAAGTCGGACGCTTAACCGACTGCGCCACCCAGGCGCCCCTCAAGGGCTGAGATTTAATAAAACTACTTCATCAAGGACATGTTTAAGTGAAACTTTTTTTTTTTTTTAACTATTTGGACAATATTATGTGATGGCTTTGATTTCTGTTAAGGTGTAAGTAGTTTTACATACTATTGTTTTTGTGCCACCAGTGCAAATGTCAACGTAGTGAAAAGAATAATGTCTTATGAAAGTGGTGACTTGTGCGTGATCACCATTTGACCTTGCTTTGACCACATTTGAAGAACCACTGGTCTCTTTGTCATCCTTTTCCAGCCACCTTTTTTTTTTTTTAAACTTTTTAAATGTTTATTTATTTTTGAAAGAGAGAGACAGAGCACGAGTCGGGGAGGGGCAGTGAGAGAGGGAGACACAGAATCTGAAGCAGCCTCCAGGCTCCGGGCTGTCAGTACAGAGCCTGATGCAGGGCTCGAATGCAAGAACCATGAGATCATGACCTGAGCTGAAGTCGGATGCTTAACTGACTGGGCCCAGACGCCCCAGCCACCTGTCTTGATTCTCCTTGCCATCATCATCTTCTCTGCGGCTCTGCATATATTGTTCCTTTTGCCTACAATGTCTTTCCCAAGCAGTGGGAAAAATCCTATCTGTCTTTTAAGACCTGGTGTGTATTTCCTTTCTGAGAGAAGTCTCTTCTAAGCTGATCTAATCACTGTCTTTTATGCCTCTGTGTCGCTACACACATACATTGTTTTAGCATTTATTATATTGAAGGCAGAGGGGCTACTAACATCTTAAAGCACCCAACGTGTGTCAGACCCTGTGCAAAATCTTTTACGTGTTTTCCTATTATATCCTCAAATTCACTGTGTGTGACAGGTATCATTATAGTCACTGTACACTGAAGAACCAGACAAATAGCTAAAGTGAAGTCAAACCCAAGCCTGTTATTTCAGCAGTGTGATCATCTTTTCCCTATTTGTCCCTATGGCACATATACAGCATACTGAAGATACTCAATTTATGTCACCTGAACAGTCAAATAAATAAATTTAGTAACAATCCCATAATAAAAGGCTCTACAAAGTCCCTTATCTTTTAGGGTTTGGCCTGAAGTCAAGTATTTTTCATTTCTTACAGTTTGGATTTGGTATCTTCATTACTTATAGAAAAACTTGAATTTTCATTTCTTCCAACAGCGGGATGGTAATTTAATGATTACCACCACCATCAAGCTGGAAACACAAATGCTGACATTTGACAGTAATGTTTTTCCCTTTCAAAGTTGCTTTAAGTAAATACCAATGGTGTACCCAATTAAGTAATTATTGAAAAAGCAAATGATGTATCTTTAAAACTTTCCAAACAATAAAAAAAAAAGCACTACTTAAAACCTCTTTTTCTGCTCAATCTGAGCCATTATGAAATGTGAAAATTCCAGGGTGCCTCTAAGAAAATCTTAATACCTCACACATGCTTTACTTAGACTGCAGCACATATCTTTAGATTTAGGATGGCGGTGAGGTCAGTGGCTCTCAAAGTGTAGCCCCAGGAGCAGCAGCAGGAGCAGCAGGAGCAGCAGCAGCAGCACCACCACCACCACCGGGGAACTTGTGAGAAGTGCAAATTATCAGGACCCACACCACCCCAGACCTACTGCATCAGAAGCTGTGGGCGTGGGGCCCAGCAATCTCTGTTTTAACAGCCCTCAAGTTATTGTGGTGCATGGTTACATTTGAAACCAATGGGGCACACCAACTGCATCGTTTGGATTCAGGGATGTTACTTACTAAGAACTGATAAAATTTGGAAAATATGACCAGCTCATTACAACATCTGTGAAAATATAAGCTGTATTGTAAGGGGTCTGCCATGCCACAGGGCCTGGGCTGCCCTCAAGCCCACATACGGTGGCATGGAGCCAAAGCAGAGAATCTCATTTCACAGAAGAGACGCCAAATCAGTCCTTGGCTCTCTCTTCCAGGAGGCAGATAAACACACCACAGCCATACTCAATGAAGAGTGAAGCCATTTATCGATCTGCAAGAACTATCTGACATAAGTAACTCCAACCATGTGCTACTTAAATTGCTTTTTTCCTAAATAAAACAGTAACCTGTAATACATGTGTTTTATTACTACTGGAGTACAATATTCTATCATCCACTTTCAACTACCTATGACAAGACTACTCTTTCCAGGAATATATTACTACTATTCTGCTTGCTTTGTTATTATACGGGCTTAAGGAAAACAGGAACTTGCTAGCATTTTGACAACTATTTGGGGGTTATGTAAAAAGCTTATTTTTGTAAAGAGTATACAGATAAACATATAAACTTGCTAACATTTTGCTCGAAAAAGTGAAGGCATTAAGTATTCACTTCATTTTTATTTATACTTTTCTAATAAAAAAGCTGGTAAGAGGATCTGCCCTATCATAAGACTTTGCTGTCTTTGCCAAAGAAAATGCCAGGCCTGGTAGAAAAGGCTTACTGTAAGTCAACAGGGAGGCAGACTTAGAATCAGATGAAAGAATACTCGGGACATATCTTTGTTTAAAAGTAAAAAGTACTGGGGTGCCTGGCTGGCTTAGTCGGTAAAGCATGTGACTCTTGATCATGCGGTTGTGGGTTCGAGCTGCATATTGGGTGTAGAGATTACTTAAAAATAAAATGTTTAATGTCATTTGCAGCAATGTGGATGGAACTAGAAGGCATTATGCTGAGTGAAATAAGTCAGAGAAGGACAGATACCATGTTTTCAATCATATGTGGATCTTGAGAAACTTAACAGAAGATCATGGGGGAAGAAAGGGAAAGAAAAAAGCTACAGAGAGGGAGGGAGGCAAACCACAAGAGACTCTTAAATACAGAGAAAAAACTGAGGGTGGATGGGGAGGCATGGGGGAGAGGAGAAAATGGGTGATGGGCACTGAGGAGGGCCCTTGTTGGGATGAGCACTGGGTATTGTATATAAGCCAACTTGACAATAAATTATATTCATAGAAATAAATAAATAAATAAATAAATGAAACGTTTAAAAATAAATTAAGAAGTACAGGGGATATAAAGAAATCATCCCATTTGTTACAAATTTGGGATAGTGGTTCTTGTTTTTATTGGCAGTTCATTAACTTTCCTTACAATATGAATGAGAAACAACAATTTTAGGCTTCCTAAACATAAATGTTTATGTGAATGATTACAAGTGAAAATATAAAAACTTCATTTACTCTTGTGTTCATTAACAGTGCAACACTGTGGGAAGAATGCAAGCTTTAGAGTCAGCCAAACCAAGGTTTGAATTCTGACTCTGGCAGTTGTGAGCTATATGAATCTGGTCAATTCTTAACTTCTCTGATTTTCAGTTTCCTCATCTGTATACAACCAATTTGTAGGGCTGTTGTATGGATTCAAGAGAACTATTTACAATGTGCTTTACACAGAGTAGGTGATCAAGAAAGAGTTATTAAAGAAGGAAAGAAAATGGATACCTAGAGAACTGAGGCGGGTGGGCCGTTTGCCCAGCTGGCATTATGGATTCTACTACTGGGTCTCAATCTCAGTAACCATCTTCTCTTATATCACTTACATGTTAAATAACTACAGACTGCTTGCCCCCAACTCCACCCCAAAAATTTCCACAATACTTGGAAGGAAGACAGAAAGAGACAGCATTAAAAAAACAAATATTCCCTGAAAACAAAGTAATGATATAGAGCTACACCTTGGTGAAAGCCAGAACAAATCGCTTGAAGAGCTTTATTCCATCTACAGTGAGGGTAAGAAGAGTATCACCATTTATTCATTTGATCCTGTTTCTTCCTCACACTATCATAGCATTTCAAAGCAACATATTATTTACTGCTATTAGGGTGTTATGGATTTGCTTTTCTATGTTCAAGCCCCTCTGCACTCACCAGAATGCAGCAGGCTACTTTAGCTAAAGATCCAGGGCCATAAACCTTGTTCAGTGCAATAAGATCACTTTAATAATACTCTAATCTTGGAATGCAGTTATAAAGATAGATGATGGCCACTGAGTGCTACTTCCAGACAGAAATGGCTCTTATGCAACCTGAAAGATATAAAAAACTTAGCATCTAAAAATGTGTTAAAAAATTCTCATATTCTGCCATTCTATTTTACATACCTGAGAATTTTTTTAGGGATCTGTGACGGAGAAGAATGACTCCTTTTCTTCTTCTCTGAGTCCTGTAGTAACCCATCCTCTGTCCCATCTTTTTCTACAAGTGCTGACTGGTCTGCTCTGGCCTTCTGATCCACACTGAGCTGGCTTTGGGCAGGATCACACCTGTACATAAAGACAATGGCTGGCTTCTCACTGGACTGTCCTTTTGCCTCTGTGAACCAGTGATGGCGCTGAACTGGAGGAGGCGGCAGCATGTGGATGACTGTGCCATCCAGGCCCACCAGTTTCCCTTTCTCTCGGTCTTTCTCTTTGTCATCCTCCTCGTCTGTTTTCCGGCGGCGGAAGAAGCTTTTAAATGATATCCAGCGTTTAGGTTTTGCATCAGCTGCCCGCCTGCTGCCTTCAGAGTGCAAAACTGATTCAGCTTCCGTTGACCTGGTAGGACTGGTTGGCTTGGTCCAGTTGGTGAAATGCCTCTGCAAAAGGTTGCCCGCATGGTAAGGGGAGGAAGTAGAACGAGGTGGGGGGAAGGGAGGGGGTGGCTCACCCTGGGAGTTAGCCACTAACTTGGAGAGAGGGGCAGTGACTGGCTTTGCGAGTGGATCTTTCCGTACTCTGGCAGTAGGACTTTCTGTGGTCTGAGGGGCTTCAGCCTCCCCACTGGGCTGAGACGTAAAGAGAGACTTGGGTCGGACTGGTGTACTCTTAGCAGCGTCCGCATCTGGAGGGACTGCATAGAGCTCTTCCACACTGCATGCTTTAGGGCCAGACTGGGGCATTTCTGGAGGAGACTGTGGTGGTTGGATAGAAGCCACAATCTGAGAAAGCACTGTGCTTGCTTTCTCTCTGGTGCTGGTGCTGCTGCTGCTGCTGACCGTCTGAGACTCCTGAGTGCCTTCTATTTGGGCCACAGGTTCTTGAGTGGTTCTCTGGATCTTTGTTGGGGAGCTGTGGCCAGAACTATAACTTTTCTGTGGTGAAGACTGACCTCTGTTCAGACAGCTGTTAAACTCCTGAACCTTTTGAGCCACTGAGCCCCTTTTACGCTCTGTGCTACTTGAAAGCCCTTTGGCTTGGGGGCACTCAGTAGGTTTGCTAGTGGTGTTATCGGACAGTTTTTCAGTTTCTATTTCTTCATAAGTATGGCTTATTACACTTGTGGTTTTTCCCTTCACTGAGAGTTCTCCACTTGTTCCAAGAAAACTTTTATAAATGGCTAGATTGTCATATGCATTTGGGTTGATTACAATGGGAACTTTGATGGCATTTTTAGAACTCCGAGCATAGGTTGGCTCGTCGTGAATGATGATTGGAAAAGGTGGCATACCAGCATTGTTATAACTATTAAATTTTATTTCAGACAAATTGGGTGACTTAACAGGGATGGTTTTAGAGGAAATGTTTGTAGTTGTCGGTGAAGTAGGTGCTGACTTGTGACAGTTTTTCCTTGGAGGGACATTTGGTCCAGTTCCACCACCAATTAATTCCACCTTGGGTATCTTTTGTCGTGGACTGGTACTGGAAGTCCATACTTCCTGGTATCGTATTGCACTGGATTTTTGGAAGTGGGCACTTATTTGTCCTGAAGTCGATGCAGGTGATGTCATCGGAGAGTTTGGAGTAGAAGAGGAGATTTTTGTCTTGGGGCTGGTAATAGGGCCCTCGAGGTGCTCAGTGGCCATGGCTGCCGACACGTCCACGATAGTATATGGCTTGCACAGTGGCTGTTCCAGATTCACAACTCGGTAGGGCTTTGCTTGCTCTTCTACGGGGACAAGGTTAATGGTTACTGCTTGCCCAGCAATATCGGTAGAGGCTTTACTTTCTTGCTTCTCAGTCTGTACAGCAATCTTGCCGTCCTTCTCTTCTAATCGGAGAGCAAGGACTGCTTTGTGTGTTTCTGGAACTTTTACTGAGCTTTTAGGTGCTTGTGAGGAGTCCTTTTCCTGATTATTACCAGAGAGACTTTCATAATTGGGCTCATTTTCCTTCATGTCCTTAGAATTTCCCGGGTTACCAGGAGATACTCCTCCATTACAGATCTTCTGGGATAAACCACTGGCTGTCTCAGAACGTGACTCTTCTGTTAAAGAAGAGTCTGGTGATGTAGAGTCAGATGACACCATGCTCTGCATGCTTCCTGGTCCACAGGAGACCACAGAATTCTCTTCATAACCATTTAGGATTTCATCATAACTGTCATCATAGTCTACAGCACAGATTCTCTGCAGAGACTTATTTCGCAGGGGGACAGTATTCCATTTTTTGTCCACAAAGAATCGAACAGGAGACAGAGTATTTGCCCTGAAGTTAGCAAAGCGGGGCTGCCCTCTCATGCGAATCTCCATGGCCAGCAGCTCTTCGTCGCTCTCATCCCAGCTCTCATGCTCCTCCTCCATGTTACTGAAAAGTACATCTTCCTCACTCTCCTCACCACTAGAAAACTCTGGGTAACAGAACCGGCCCCCTTCATTACTGATCACTTCTGTGCTCCCACTCAGAATAACATGCTTGCCCTGAGTATCCTTTATACCGCCCATCATGCAACTTGGTGGAAGCTTTCTTTCCAATGATCTTTTATAGCAATCATTTATTCTTCCTAAGAATGTTTCTCTGGAGTTTGTTTCATTTCCTCTCATCTGAGGGGTGGTATCCAAGCCTGCTATCTCTTTTAACACATCAGTTAGACCATTATTGTTATTTGGTATCTTCTTTGCACTATCATTATTGCCATAGGGCTTAGGAACATGGCTAAATCCTTCAATATCATCTTCATTATTATTATTGAGTGGTTTCTGATTCAAGGCCGTCCTGTTTCGGTTCCACCCTATGATGACAGGTTTGTTCTCACAGTGTTCTTGGATACTAAGTTCACCACATACACTCTGCCCATCTGCCACCATCATAGTGGGTTTCACAGCTATAGTGGGTTTTTTAGCCACAGGAGGACGGAAATTCCCAGTGTTCCTCATGCGGTGGTTATTACTGTGATTGGCATTAGTTTTCACATTGCCATGGGTGGCGGGTGCCTTCTCAGGGTCTGGGGGGAGCTGGTGTAAGCTTTTAGGCTTAAAGCAGTTCTTGCATTCACCAGGTTTCCACACGTGTTCAGTAAAGGTGTTACAAGCAGACATTTTTAAGAAAAGACCTTCACAGACAATGCTTTCCTTTCAGTGCATAGCAAAACTTTCATCCATCAGTTTTCACCTCCCCTATGTATCATAGCAGCTCTTGTAAGTATGATCAATCTGTGGGAGGGAAAAAAAAAGAAAATCTAAATGGAAAAGGCACAACGAGGCTTATCATGATGAATGACTTAAAAAAACTGGCTCCACTCCTAAACTTTTCTTTAAGTGAACAGATTGAAAGATTAATTAATTTGGGTGCTTTCTGAACTCCTTAAGCCAGTTAGCATTTTGGAAAGTTCGTCTTTCAGCCATAATTTTTGTATACTCTCATTGAACTATATATAATCTTTCACTTGATATCTATGTGGCAATGCTACTGTGAACTTCCCCTTCTGGAAATGCGTTTCAAACTGCTCTTTTTATTATCTACAACCTGTGTGATACTTCTTAGTTCACTGTAGGTTCCTCCTCCACCTGCCCTTTTAATTTTGGCTACCTCATAGACTCCTCAATCTGAGTACATTCAAACTAAGCCTCTGGCTACCCCTTTTCTCAACTGCAAGAAACTTTTCTACTCTAACCAGCCCTCCTCTACTCTCCAGGCCACCTCCTTTCTCTGTCTTTACCCTATTTCAGTTAATGTCCCCATCATCTACTTAGATAACTAAACTCAATTCTTGACACCTCTTCCTTCACTTCTAACTCCACATCTAACTCCTTAAATTAGTCTTGCCAATTCTATCTATTACATTTCACTGGAACTCTTTCTTGTCATTACCAGACCCTGCTAGCAGTTCAGATATTCACCATCTTTTGTCTAGATTCCTGCAATGAGCTGTTAACTGATCTTCATGCTTGCAGTCTCACCCTACTCCAATCCAATCTCTCTACATTTGCTACTCAAAATGTGGTCAAAAGTATCAGCCTTATTTGGGAACTTGTTAGAAATGCAGTATTTCAGGTATAACCCCAGACCTACTGGATCAGAATTCGTATTTAATGAGATACTACCATCAGATTTACCTTTCTGAAAAGCTAAGAGGATCAACTTACTACCTAGCTTAACTATTCTGTGCTCAGTCTTACCTATGCACTGACTCTCAAATGTCAGTGTGCAGACTAGGGGTTGCCAGCTAAGTAAGAACCACTTGGGGAAGCACTACACACCTACGTAGTCAATCTCTGAGGGAAGAGTCCAAGAATTTGATTTTTTAAAACAAGTTCTCCGTGTTTGTTTGTTTTAACAAGTTTTAAGTGCACTGAGGTGTTGGAACCTCTGAGTTCTAGGAAGGAACACAAGCCCCTTAGGTTTTCATGATTTGGTCTTTGCCTCCCTTCTAGCCTTATGTCTTAAACATCAGCTAGTCTGATTAATGTTGTAAATCCTACTGGGCTACTCATTTCTCCTTGATACTATCAAAGCCACTTAGACATACCTCCATGAACAAGCACTTTCATTACAAAAAAAAAAAAAGTTTATGTATTTATTTTGAGAAAGAGAGAGTGTGCATACGTGTGTGCAAGCCGGGTAGGGAGAATCCCAAGCAGGCTCCGTGCTGTCTGCTGTCTGCTGTCTGCACAGAGCCCAAAGTGGGGCTCAATCTCATGAATCATGAATCATGATTTGAGGCAAAATCAAGAGTTGGTCACCTAACTGATTGAGCCACCCAGGTAGGTGACCTGCACGTTCATTTTTAATTGTCTGTTTACTCACTAGTTTTTGAGCTTTTTAAGGTCTGGGCTCTATCTTGTTCATCTCTACATGTCTAGCATAAGGAGCTAAATAAATACGGTTTGACTAAATGTGCTGGGTTTAAAGTTTATTTAAAAAAAAACTAATCTTGTGACTCTCCCTTTTGTCTTAGGCACAGAGCTGCAGACTTTCCCACAGAATATCACTACAGTGTTATATTTCTAATTTGGATATTATAATAAAGTTGGCAGTAGGCATGTATGTGTAAGACTATTTTAATGGCTAGAGAGTTTAACTTTACTCATGTATAATGACAGCAAAAAAGATCTTTCGTTTCATTAGAAATGCAGCCTTTCTGTCGAGTCTCAGCATGTGTGTAAAGAAAAGAATATTTTCTTTAGCTTGCATGTGTGTGCACACGTGTATGTGTGCACTCACACACACACACACACACACACACACACACACAGAGCTAAGTCCCTTGTGAACAATACTCATAAAGCATTCTGCCTCAGTGAAAGAAGTACAGACTTAAAGATCAAAGTATTCCATACAGAGAGCCCAACAGCCTGGCTGAAACCTAAGTTCATTCTTTGCTGGAGATTATCAAATGGCTCATTTCAATATGGTAAGAGTATATTTTTCAAGTGTTTGTTTGAAAACATTTATTTAGTCCTTCAGATATTCAAAAAGCTATCCCTTAGTTGATAAAAGCATTTCCTGCTAGTCTGAGATTGGAACATTTTGAGCAAGGGAAAGAATGGCATAAAATTAGGCTGAAAAGGAAAGCAGGGGCCAGATCATGCACGGCCCTTTAGGCTTTTAAAGATTACAGAGTTTATCTTAAGAGGAGTGGGAAGACACTGAAAGGTTTTAAAAAGGGGAAACAACATGATCCAATTTGCATTTAAAAAAGCCAGCTCTGAGGAAAATACAAGAAATACGTAGCTACAGATCTAACAAAATATGTACAAAATCTAAAATCTCTATGTAGAAAACTACAAAATGCTGATAAAAAGGTATCAAAGTGGACCTAAGTGGAGAGAGATACCAAGTTCTCTCAGTATTATGAAGACGTTAATTTCTCCCAAACTGCTCTGTAGATTCAACATAATTCTAAAAAAATCCAAGCAGGATTTTTTAGGAGAAATCAACAAACTAATTCTAAAATTTATACAGAAAGGCAAAGGAACTAGAATAGCCAAAGCAATTTTGAAAAAGAACGAAGTTGGAGGACTCATATTACCTGATTTTAAGACTTAGCGTAAAGCTACAGTAATCCTGACAATGGGGTACTGGCAAAAGATAGAAACATAAATGGGGAAAGTGGGGCAAACAAATCTAGCCTGCTGCCTGTTTCTGTATGTCCTAAACTAAGGATGCTTTAAAATTTTTCAAATGATTAAAAAATCCAAAAGAATAGTATTTTGTGACAAGTGAAAATTACATGAAATTCCCAATAGAGTGCCCATAAATAAAGCTTTATGGGAAGATAGCCAGGCTCATTTGTTTGCATACTGTTCCTGGAGGCTTTATGCTACAGTGGGGAGTTGAGGAGCTTGGGACAGACTGCATGGGGCGCTCTCATCACTTTGCAGTGCTTTCCTTAAAAAAAAATTTTTTTTTAATGTTTATTTTTGACAGAAAGAGAGAGACAGAGCATGAGCGGGGGAGGGGCAGAGAGAGGGGGACACAGAATCTGAAGCAGGCTCCAGGCTCTGAGCCGTCAGCACAGAGCCCGACGCGGGGCTCAAACCCACAGACCGTGAGATCATGACCCATGTACCACCCAGGTACCCCTCAAATTGCAGTTTTGACCCATGTGTCATGACCCATGTGTATCGCCCATGTAAAAGGACATTTTTCCAAGATAAAAATGTCAAATTTCACTACAGATATGCATCAATAAACATTTATAATCAAGTTTGATAAGAGGAAACACTAACTTTGCATCCTAATTAAGCAATCCCTATCCCAAAAAAGAATTCCACTGTTTGTATTAGTAGAGCTGTGTTTCAGAAAATTGTACTCAATTCCTGTATTTTGAAATTTGTTTTAAAAATTCACGGAAAATTTTTTTCTCTTGTTATACAAGTACTTACATAATATCTCCAATTTTGCCTTTGGGCCTATAGAACCTAAAATACTTACTATCTAGTTCTTTACAGAAAAACTGTGCTGACCCCTGACATAGATCAAAATAGGCACAGAAAGGAGTCCAGAAATAGAACCATACGAATATAGGCAACTGATACATGCCTCTATCAGTGAATATTCTTTTCAACAAATGTGCTAGAATAATTGGATATCCATAGGCAACAAAGTAAACCTTGATTCATACCTCACATACTGTATATGGAAATTACCCCAGATCTAAGCATAAAGTGTAAAGCTATAGTGCTCGCTACAGCAGTACATAGACTAAAGTGTAAAGCTATAGAGGTTTTAATAGGAAAAAACAGAAGAAAATCTTTGTGACCTTGAATTAGGCTGAGTTCCCAGATACAATATGAAAGGCATGATTCATTTAAAAAAAAAAAAAAACAATTTGGATTTTATCAAATTTTAAAAATGTTTGCTCTGACAAAGATACTGACAAGAGAATGAAAGATAAGCCACAGATGAGAAGTTTTTTGCCAAGTACATATCTGACAAAGGACTTTGTATCCAGAATATATGAAGAACTTTCAATATTTAATAAAAAGAAAATATCTGATAAAAAGTCGGCAAAAGGTTTGAGCAGTCACTTCACCAAAAGTACATGGATTGCATATTAACATGTGAAAGGTGCTAAATATCCTTAGTCATACAGAAATGCACATTAAAACTGCAGTGAGCTGCCACTATGCATCTATTAGAAAGGTTACAATGAAAACAAAATCAAATACTGAGGGAGAATGTGGTGCAAGTGAAATTCATATGGTGCTGGTGGGAATGCAGATGGCACAGCCACTTTGGAAAACAGTTTGGCAGTTTCTCATAAAAGTTGAACACGAGCTTTCCATGGGACCCAGCAGTCTCACCAATAGGTACTCACCCAAGAGAAATGAAAAGTTATGTTTGCATTATAGCCTGTACACGAAGGTTTATAGGGAAAAACTGGAATAATCCAAATGTGTGGTGGTGGTTATAGGACTCCATGCATTTGTCAGAATTTATAGAACTGTACACTAAAAAAAGATTATATAAATCAAACCTTAATGCATCTGACTTAAAAATAAAAAACAGCTCTGGCTGCTATATGGACAATAAGCTGGTGGAAGACAGGAGAGAAAGCCGGGAGACTGTTCGAAGGGCTGCTGTTGGCAAAATA